TTTCGAATGGTCTGAAAAATGGCAGATGAAATTCAACGTGGACAAATGTAAAGTACTCAGTATAGGAGATGTAAACAGGGAAACCAGATACCAGATGAACAACGATGCCATAGAGAAATCCGACTGCGAGAGAGATTTAGGAGTAATGATAAGTAGGAACCTTAAGCCAAGTAAACAATGTGTTTTTGCTCGTAACGAGGCTAATAAAGTACTTGGGTTCATACAAAGGAGTGTTAGTTACAAGACTAGCGAGGTCATCCTAAAATTGTATCTTGCTCTTGTGAGACCACACCTGGATTACGCAGTTCAGTTCTGGTCACCGTATTACAGAATGGATATAGAATCGTTGGAAAGAATTCAGAGGAGAATGACAAGACTAATCCCGGGCATTAGGAACCTTGAGTATAGAGACAGGTTAAAGCATCTTAATTTGCACTCCCTCGAGAGACGTAGAGCGAGGGGCGACCTGATAGAGGTGTATAAGTGGAAGTCAGGGCTAAAAAAGGGGACATTACAAAGGTACTCAAACTATCCAACCAAGAGCGAACTCGTAACAATGGTTTTAAATTAGACAAATTTAGATTTAGGCGTGAAATAGGTAAATACTGGTTTGGAAACAGAGTAGTGGATGAATGGAACAAGTTACCAAATATCATCATTAACTCGAATACGCTGAATAGCTTCAAACATAGGTTGGATGCTTATATGAGCAATAGGGGTTGGGTGTAAATGGGACTGCCCAGTATGGGCCAATAGACCCGCTGCAGTTTCCTCCATTCTTATGTTCTTATGTTCTTATGTTAAAAGAGAGAGAGAGAAGCAACATTGCGGCGAAGAGAAAGGGAAGAGAGATTGTCGACTAAAGGGGGAGAGTTAATAAGATATGAGAGCAGTACTCCATGTTAGGACGAATGAATCCCTTATATACTTGAAGCAACTGCTCAGGAGTGAAGTAGCTACGGCATCAGTACAGCATTCCCAATTTTCGGGAGGCAGCTTTAGCTATGTTAAGGATGTGTGATTTCTAGGACATATTGGAGGAAATGGTGAGGCCTAGCATATTTATTTCAGAATTTGGCAGAATGATAGCATCCTGAAATGTAATTAGTGGGAGATCATCTAATTTAGAAAGTGTAATTGGTAAATACTGAGTTTTATTACGATTGAATTTAACCAAGTTTGTACCACCTCCCCATTCAGAGATGCTGCACAGATCCGCATTGATAGAAGTAGTGATATCAGCCCTAGAAACAGATCTGGTTTGAGAGTTAAGAGGAAGGGGAAAATGTAAAGAAGAGTGAAGAGTAGAATCATCAGCATTAGAATGGATAGAATTAGTTGTAGTGTGAAGTAAATCATTGATAAAAAGAAGGAAGAGAGTAGGTGAAAGAACAGAACCCTGTGGGACACCACTATTGGTAGAGAAAGAGCGAGAGATCGATCCCTCGACAACAACTGCCATTGATCAGTTCTCATGGAAGCTAGAGATTAGAAAACAAAGTGGGGGAGAGAAACCATAAGAGGGAAGTTTAGAAAGCAAAGACTTGTGCCATACCCTGTCAAATGCTTTGGAGATGTCGAGGGCCACGACGAAAGTTTCTCCATAATCCCTAAGAGAGGATGACCAAAGATGGGTGCAATAGGAGAGCAGATCACCAGTAGATCTCGACTGGCGAAAGCCATACTGGTGATCCGACAAAAGAGAATGGTGTTCAAGGTGACGGAGAAAATCGGAATTCAAGACGGTTTCGAAAATCTTAGAGAGGGATGAAGTTAGGGCAATGGGGCGATAGTTTGAGGGATTAGAATGGTCACCTTTCTTCGGGGTGGGCTGAACCAAGGCATGCTTCCAAGAAGAAGGAAAAGTTTGGGTTTTGAGGCAGAGGCGAAAGAGGCGAGGAAGCACAGGGGCCAGAGCTTTAGCACACTCCCTCAGAACACGAGGGGGTATTCTGTCCAGTCCATGTGCCTTACTCACATCCAACCTGGATAACACACCGGCAACCCTGCGAGTGGAGATTATAGGAAAGTGCATAGGTTCAGTAGGAGGAGCAGGGGTAGGAAGGATAAAGTTGGAATCGTCTAAGGTGGAATTAGAGGAGAATAAGGTGCCAAAGAGATGGGCTTTGACAGGGGGAGAGTTGGCTATAGAGTTATCAGGTCGGAAGAGAGGAGGAAAAGAAGGAGTGAAGAAGCTGTTACAATTGTTTTTGGTTAAGGACCAGAAGGATTTACTAGGGGAAGAATTAGTCAGGGCAACGATTCCTAGAAGAAATGAAAGAGGTGTGGGTAATAGGAGATAGTTTCATAGCTCGATATGCCCTATCTCTCACCCTGCATGCAAGAGAGCAGGAGCGATCAAACCATGAATGTAATGTGAAAGTTTTGGTAGAAGATGGGATAAATACACTCATACCACCCTGTATAACTCCAGCAATGCTGTCAGCACATACCGAGGCGCCTCGAGTGGAAAAGCAACATTCATCCCAAGGAAAGTCAGTGAAGAATCCTCGCAAGGATTGTGACAAAATTTTTGATAAAATATCTGGACTTTCTGCCTGGACCCTTTGGTCGGTTATTTTCGCGTCTGCGCAGTGCGAAGAGCGTGACGTAGTGTGACGTGGTAGTGACGTCTTTGCCTCCCCATCTCACCTGTGCCCGAACAAGCCAAACTACCCAACCACTCTCTATGACGGGGCAGCGACGCTGCAGTGATGTTATCGCCACCGCTCTGTGCGTTGCCTGTCGTGGAATCCAAGGGCGTCATGGAATACTCCGGACCCGCCACCCTTGCCGACCTGGAGGCCGACCTAGCGATAAGCGATGAGGATATACCCTCTGGGAAAGGTTGGCCACCTCCTGCGTTGCTTGGCCACCAAGCCTCTACCTCCACCAAACGCCCATTAGAGTCCACTTCAGACAGTGACAGAGAATCTCCATCTCCTGCCTCCAAAACCCCAAGGAATACAAAGGTTTCTTCTCACCACGTGTGTCCATCATATCCATCATATGAACCCTCTCGCACTACAGCGCGGGAAGCCGCTGGACCGGGAACACGCGACCCACCCGACCACGTACAGCTCCCGGCCTGCGGACACCCCATCTCTAGGGCCACTTCCTCTCAGACCGCTTCCTAGTCCACTCCTCTACCTCCAGCTTTTACCCCCCGAGCCGACTACACCAAACCCCTCTTCAAAGGAAACGCCTCGGGTGATACGAAAATACGCTGTCTAGCTGAGGTCACCAGGACCTTTCACCTTGACCGGGACCACCTTGCTGAGGTCAAGGTGTCTGCTGTTTCCTCCCGCTTTGTCTACATCACCAGACGACGTATGGACATCATAGATAGGGTTAAGACTGGTGAGTTCCTCTCTCTGCTCCTCGACATTCAGGATTCACCTGACAGGCCACGCAAGACCCCGAGCTACCTCCTCACTCGCTATCCTATACGCATGGATCCCTCCTTGTCAAAGAAATTCCCGGTATCCACTCTGTCCGTTGTTTCCATCAGAATGGAAAACCCATCAACCGGCTTGTTGTCGTCTGGAGTCTCCCAGACCCTCCCCTGCCAGCTATTACCTTTAGCTTCCTCCCCTGTCTCCCGTCCTGCGAACTACGCAAAATGAAGACCGAACAACCATGGTGCTTCAAGTGCTGTGGAATCGGTCATATATCCCGCTACTGCTCTGCTCCAGAGAAATGTGCCTGGTGTGCTGAAGCCCATGACTCCCGTTCCTGCCCTCACCCGACTCCTTCACCAACCACTACCTCCGATGCCTCTACTTCGGGGCTACCTCCCTCATCTGCGTCAGATACCACTCACTGGAAATGTCCTCGCTGCCATGAACGAGGAGTCAATGTCTGGCATGGTTGCACCAGACGCCAGCCCGCCGCTCCAGCCGCGCCATCACCGCCACCTTATGTGTCGTTGGTGGGTCCTAGTGTACCAGCATCTTTGCCGCAGGATGCCACAATACCTGTCACCTCTACCATTCCTGATTCTGTCGAAGTTCTTGCTCTCCGTGATGCTGTCAGTTCCCTGATGTCTTGGTTTACCTCACTTGCAGCTCAACTTGATGCCATCGAAGCTCACATTGATGGTCTGGGAAGCAGGCACACCACTACTGAAAACACTCTGGCTTCCCTGGAAGAAACTCAACAGGTCGTCATCACGTCTGTCACCAACCTCATTGAGAAGTTAAACGCTCCACAAAGAAACGCCCGTGCCACCTCCTCATCCACACCTGGCTCTCGTAAGAATAAACGTCAAGTTCACTAACAGTATACCGCTTCACATTGTCTCATGGAATGCCTGTGGAATCAGAAATGATAGGAAACTCGCTGCACTTAAAGGTTATGTTTATCACCATCATTCCGATGTTATATTCATTCAAGAAGCCTTTGCTGCCCATTCTCTATTTCGAGGGAAGGCTCCTCCACTCACTGGCTACATTCCCTATGTTCATCTTGTCAGGAATGGTCTCATCAGCTACGTCCACTACTCCATACCACATCAGCTTCTTTGCTGCTCTGAGGATGACAATATGACCTTCCAACTCCTTGAGATAGTAGTGGGTGACGGCAAGATCCACCTATGCAACGCCTACTCCGCCCCTGTCAGGATAAATCTCTCTGTCCTCCCTAGTCCTATGATCTCTGGCATGATTTACATGGGAGATTTCAACGCTCGACACCCTGAGCTTTGGGACCTCTCTCCTAATCCGAACCAAAATGGGATTCGTCTTCTTGAGTACATCCGTCGTCATCAGCTTTCTCGCTGGGATACTGGTAGTGCCACTCACTCTCGTGGAGGTACCCTTGATCACATTCTTACATCTAGAGTAGTGGCATCCCATGTGAGGACCTCATCCATCCCTACCCTCTTCCCCGACCACTTCACCCTCAGCCTCCATTACTCACTCCCAGCTGGACCTCCCCTTATCCACAGTCGTACCTACATTACCATCCCTCCGAAAAACTAACCTGCCTACATCTCGTACATGTCCAACCTTCTCCCGACATTCGATGTAGAGTCACCGGAGAAGTTATACTCCTCCCTGGTGAACTCCACGCATAACTTCCACAGTCACTACATTTCTCGTCCACACATTAAACGTCGCCCTGAAGCCTATGCCTGGACCCTTGATGAACGTATCCTCCAGGCGGAAAAGAAGGCAGTGGAGGATGGTATTTCGTTCCAAGAGGAACCGACCCTTGACCGTCTCCATCAGTACCAGTCGTCCAGGGATGATCTAATTGCCCTCCAACAATGTGTTCGGACTGAATCCTGGCGTAACTTTACAGATAGCATTAACCACCAGACAAGCGTGGGAGCCATGTATCACCTCATCAACAAGGTGGTCAAGAAAAAGTCCTCTAGTGCCGTTCACCACAGCCCAGCAGAGTACGCACAAGATCTTGTGGAAACATGGTCTGCACAATCCCAAGCCCGTAATCTCCCGGAGCACATTCAAGAGGCCCTCTCCTCCCAGTCAAATCTCCGCGCCCTTCGTCTCATGGCGGCGTTGCTGAAGGTTGATGAAGAGGATACGGTGGTGATAACCGAGGAGGAACTGCGGCGTGTCCTCATTCGTGGTAGGGCAACTGTCCCCGGTGATGACGATGTCACCTACTCAGTTCTCCGTTTGCTCCTGAAAGTCCCCGGCAACCCCCTTCTCCTGCTTTACAATCTCTGTCTCTGCACGGGGTATGTACTCAATGCCTGGACCTACAGCACAGTAGTACCCATTCCAAAATGCGGCACTGCCAAATTCAGACCCATCTCCCTCACCTCTTGCTTCAGCAAGGTGATGGAGCGTATTCTCCTTACCCGTCTCATGTTTCGGCTGGAGAACAAACTCTCACCCAGCTTGTATGGTTTCTTGCCACAACAGAGTACGCATCACTGTCTCATGGAACTCTATACCCGTCTTTCCCCTATGAGTGTCGTAGCCGTCATCGACCTTAAAAGTGCCTTTGATGTTGTAAATATGTCACGTGCCTGAGCGCTCGGGAACTCGCATAGCGTGAGGCATATGTTCACGCCTACATTTCATACAAGCTATTAATAAATTGTTAATTGTACTTATTATATTATTATTGTTCTTAGTTACTTAGGTTAATTGTATATTTATGTATGTAATTTGTATGCATCATTGTCTTACTCTGTTAAGTCAACTGAAGAGTAATATTAATTAATTATATAAAATATCCAGCAAATGTCCTGAATCACGTGATATGAGACGCTCTCCTCCCCGCGTGGGCACGCTTCCCCAGTAGCGAAAAACCGTGGCATAGGTTAGACTTGTCCATTCGTTCTCTAGCCTTGACCCTTGTCTAGTGCTTTATCCAGTCTTCTGCAATGCCCTAGGGGTATCAGGTATTAGTGACACGTTTAGTTAGGCCTAGGAAGGGATCCTGGTGGTAAGGTATCTCCTGTTTGGTAGGGATAATCATTTTGTAGTGATTGTTGTATATATATATTCCGTATGTCTTGTGTAATATAGTAATGTTAAGTAATATTTGTTTGGTCTAACTCCTTACAGCATATTTTCGCCCTTCCGGCATCACTCTTATTTTATTATACACTTACTTATTCCCTTAAATTCATGTTTGCTAGTCATTACTCCCTTTAGAACATAAATTGAATTAATTAATTATCTTCCCTTTTGTGATTCACTTATTTCAACTGTTCTTACTTATTCAAGTACATTTAGTTGAGTAGGTTTTTGGTGAGGATAATTATTGCCGTGTTCCCTATTTGTTCCTTTATTTGTTAATAACTTGGGGTAGGATTCACTCCCCAAGTATAAAGGGTAGTGGGATCACGACAAAATAGAGATATCATCCTTGATCAGCTAGTAGACTTCGGTGTCAAATGTAATCTCTTAATATGGCTTCGGGGATACCTCCGGAACAGAATTTCCCGCGTCCTCTTTAAGGGGGCATGTAGCTCCACCAAGAACTTCAATCTTGGCGTTTCACAGGGGGTTGTTCTTAGCCCCTTTCTTTTTAACATCCTTATGCATCGCCTACTTTCTTTTCTCCCTGACATTCCTGGTACCACAGTTACCTGTTATGCAGATGATATCTGCATTCACTCTGAGTCGCCGGAAGATCTTCAACGCCTCCTCAACTCATTCGCAGTGTCGTCTTCTGCTTGTGGTCTCATCCTCTTCCCAGATAAGAGTACGATCTTCTCTCCTCGCAACCTGGGTACGCTCCCAGAATTCACTGTGGGAGATAATGTTATCCCTCCGTGTATGCAGTACATCTACCTGGGTGCACCTTTGCGGATTACTCCAGCCACACCTGTACGACGTGTCCATCCCATCGTCCGGGACCTCATAGATCGACTGCAACAGCGTCCAACACCTCTCATGTGGCTCACAAACAATGCTGCCGGGATTTCTATCCCTGTAGCCAGAACTGTTTACATTTTGTTTATCCGTTCTGTTGTCGACTAAATTTCCCCTGCTTTATGTCAACTCCCCAAAATATCCCTAGATCCCCTTGAAAAGTTTCAAAACAAAGTCATGAGATTTATTCTGGGCTGTCCCACCTCCACCAGGTTAGTTAACAGGCAAACTGAACTCAATCTTCCTTCCCTTGTTGAGAGAATATACGCTAATGTCTCCTACTTCAGTGTCAAATGTCTTCACTCTCCCCACCTTGCCCCCCATTATTCTCATGTCATTAGAACTTCCCTTGATCCAAATTCACCCCGGCCTCTACTTCGGCCGGGTGGTCTCACCCTCATTAAAATAGTCTGTTCTATACTTCAGAACCTCGATATTGATGTGCCCAAAGCAGAGGTTGATCACGGTCCTCCACCTTGGATGTTCCCTGTCCAGCAGTCACCTTTACTCACACCTCAAAGAAGGGCCTACCTCTCCTTCGGAAACAATTAGTTTTGGAGACCATAACCAGAGTTTCTTCCTCAGTCCCTGCTGTACACCATCTATACACCGACGGTTCCCTACAGGCAGACGGGAGTGCGGGGTGTGCTCTCTTCTCACCGGATGTGGACTCGCCAGCAGGAGGTTGGGTTGCCCGTAGACTTCCGAACTGGTCAAGCTCTACTTACAATGAATTGCAAGGACTCTTAGATGCAGTTGATCTCCTCCTTCAGAGGAGATTAAACGGTGTGATGATATGTGATTCTCAGTCTGCCCTCCAGGCCCTCTCCTACTCTAAGCCCTGATGCCTCCCTTTAATTCAACATATGTTATGTCTATTAGCTTTAGCCCATGATAATTCTCTTGTTATCCATTTTTTTTGGATTCCATCTCATGAAGGAATAGAAAACAATGACACTGTTGACCTTCTGGCTAAGAATGCCTGTGGACTGGCCCTTCCTGGTGATAGGGCTACACCCTCTCTGCTCTGTTACCGAAAGAGAATACGTTCAGCTGCTCTCCTCCCTACAACCCATCGAAGGGATAGTGAACGGGCTGAGAGTGTATCCATCCAATACTATAATAATTTTCTTCCTTATCCACATAAGTTTCGTTGTAACCGCCATCCGGACGGTTAAAGGATTAATTAGACTCGTCACGTTAAACTCGAACGTTATAATTCGGTCAAACCTGTTGAATACAATTCATTTTAGTATTTCAAATAAATCATACATAGGCACTCCTACATAAATGTTTAATCCAATATATATTTACATAACAATCATAGCTATGTAATCAGTCTAATCTTAACACTTACAATGAGTACTTAATTTGCCATATTTCTATATTGTCACAATGATAAATGATGCAATGAACACAGTCTACCTGTGTACACAATAAGTACTAGTTAGACTTACGTGTTGAAAGTCTAGAGAGAAACCAGGTTAGGTGATGTTTCTAAGATATGGGTCACTACAATGCCAGTCCGATCTCCTGGCCCACCCTGGCTGGTCGGCGAGGGCTGAGTCGGGTGATTATGATTATACATAAACAAGCTCACTTCACACACTCCAACCTCCTCTGGGCATCTCATCTCCACCATCTCAATACTCTATATACTGTATACGGGCAGGCACACCCAATAAACATGACATGACTTACCGCCTAACATAATGTTTGTTTATGTGTCATCTTACTCATTGCTGCTTGTGGTAACACCCACTCCATTGAGCGTTCATGCTCAAAACCAAATCAGGTCTATGATACTTAATGCTTTGTCACGTTCTTGTGACCATGCTGCCCTCAGGCTGGTGGTATTCAACTTTGTCACTTTCTTGTGACTGTTGCTGCCCTCAGGCTATCAGTACTTATCAGCTCCTTTGACGTTCGGACAACACTGTCTTCATGTGTGGATACCCAATTCATTCTCCTGGTCGACTCCGTCAGCCCCTTCCATTGCTCCCTCCAACAAGCATAATTTTGTCACAGGTCGCAGCATCGTGGACGTCGTCGTCTTAACCACTGCCTGTCGTACGAGTCCATCCTCGCCAGCCTTGACTTCCATCACTCGACCAAGGTGCCATTTGTTGCGTGGACTATTTGCTTCTGCTATAATGATTAGGTCACCAGGGCGAAAGTTGCGCCGTGGTCTGAAATGCACTTGTCGAGTTCTGAGTTGAGGGAGGTACTCCGTCAGCCAGCACTTCCAAAATTGATCTGCAAGGTACTGGACATGCTTCCACCTTCTGTGGTATGATTCGCCTATTGACCTTCCACCTAAGGGAAGATTACCCTTTTGACTTAAGTGCAAAAGATCAGCAGGCATGAGAGCCTTTGGTTCATTTGGAGTGTTTGGAACCGGGGTGATTGGCCTCTCGTTAACTATGGCTTCCACTTCACAGAAGTGTTTGCAGACGTTCATCGTCTAAAACTTGTGAGCCCACATTCGCCTGTAGGACCTTCTTTACTGTGCGAATCTGCTTTTCCCATACTCCCCCCATGTATGGGGCAGCTGGTGGATTGAAGACCCAGTCAATATCTACTTTCACAGCCAGTTTGAGCTCTTTGGCTGCCCGTACCATGTTTGTCCCATTATCCGACCTAATACGCTCTGGTGTACCTCTGCATCGTGAGAACCTTGTTATTGCGTTGAAGAAGGCATCTGCGTCTAATGAGGCCAAGACTTCTAGATGAACGGCCCTAATAGTTCGACATGTAAACAGACATCCCCAGCGCTTAACCTGTTTCCTCCCTACCTTGATAATGAATGGACCAAAACAGTCCGTTCCATTGTAAGCAAATACTGCCTTTCCAGGCGTGACACAATCTATTGGTAAGTCAGCTTGTCTTTGATGCCTACTTCTCCAGCTGTTCCGTTTGCACACTACACAGCGTCGTATGATTCTATCAAGCAAGCGTCTGCCCTGGGGAATACAATACCTTTGCCTCACACATGCCATCGTGTGCTCTCGTCCTGCATGTCCGGCTCTCTCTTCGTACATCTCCCGCACTATGATTTCGGTGATGTGGTGGTCTCTAGGCAGCAAGATTGGCTCCTCACCACTTCGCCCAAGAAGGGTTCCTTTAATTCTTCCCTTTGATCTGAGCAACGTTCGCTCGTCCAAGTAAGGTTCCAGTTTATATAGCTTATTGTCCTTCGGCAGCTCACCCTTTATGACAGTTTGGATTTCTTTCTCAAAAGCCTCTTTCTACACCACTCTTATAATTGTCTGCTCAACCGACTGTAGTTCCTCAGTGTTTTGCCTCTTCACTTTGAGGCGCAGGTCTGCGGTCCTTGTACTGGATCTGAGCCACCAAATGAACCTTTTAATCCATGCCACCCCTTTCACCAAGCGGTACCATGATGAGTACCTGAGCCACAGTTTGGCGAGGGACCATTTTGATTGCTCGCTCACTGCCAGAGCAACTACGGATCTCTGGTATACTTCTCCTTTCACCTCCAGTAAGTCGTTCAGAACTGCTGGCAGTTCCTCTCCCTTTGGCCACCGTTCTTCAACACTGATTAGAAAGTCAGGACCTCGTATCCACGGAGATCCTGCAACCAGGTCCAGGACAGGTATTCCCCGAGTTGCATCATCTGCTGGGTT